GTTGTTCCACTGAAGGAAAAAGCACCCCAGACCATTACGGTTACATCTCAGGTGGGATCTGCTTGTCATGGCAGTAACTTTGGAAACCTCCAGGACCATCAAGGTTCAATTTTTTCTCATCAGAGAATAAAACTTTCTTCGATCAATGTCCCATGTTTGGTGTTCTCTTGCAAAGTCCAAACAGTCAGTTCTGTGGCGTTCAAGGAGATGAGGTTGTTTGGGTTTTTTTGAAGGCCTTCTGTCTCAGATTATATCAGATTGTTGTGGGGCTGCAGTCAGCACCAGTAACGGTCCTAATTTGGGTCGGGGATCGCCCAGTGTCTTGATGGACAGCCAATTGGATCCTCCGGCTCCGTGCTGGTGAAATTGTTTTGGGTCTTCCACTTAACTTTTTGTTCCATAACCCTCAGGATCATTTAGGAAATTCCAAATGACTGCCTTGCTGCGTCCCACCTCAGCAGCAATGGCGCGCTTATGCAGTTTAACAACCTGACCATGTTCAAAAAGGGAAAGGTTTTTTTTTTTTGCTTTTGCCATCAGACTGCCATGGCAGTGAGACTACCTGACAGAAAATGACAATGAATCCATATTTTTGCACAGATTGGCCTTTTAAAGGCATATGGTCTTAAACTTTTGATCAGCTGTCAAAACAGCCTGTTTCAGTTTAAGCGTTGTTTTCAATAAATTGCATGATCAAAAAATGTTTTGTCTCACTCCCATTTCTTCTTGTTGCATGTTGAAGCTCAACTTGGAACCTTGTTAAGATCCAACCATGCAAAATATGATTTATTTGTTTTTTTTGCCATTTTTCAAGTGGTCTTGAAACTTGACGGGGGATGAATTATCCTCCCTGCAGTGACGCCTCCGGCCTGCAGGGGGCAACGCCGCTCAGCTTTGTTGACATGCGTCACCAAACTGCGACGGATGGATGGACCATAAGAGCAAAGGCTTCTAAAATGTAGAATGAGTGCCTGAGCGGTGCAGACCGAATGAAAACAAAAAGAAAAAGGGGATTTCTGAGCGCCTGCGGACACTTCTCAATGGGTGAGTGATGGTAACAGAAACGAGCGGGCCTGCGCTCACAGTAGGAGGATTATTTTTTAATAAAACCTCTGGTTTGGGTGAGTAGAGTTACCATAATGTGTCTGGATTGTCTGCGATAGAGAAAAAAACGGTCTGGGATCCTCTAGCTTCTTTTTAAACTGCGGAAAATTAAGAGTAATTGTGCTTTAAACACAAAAAGCAGCAAAAACAACGCGTTAACACCCTTTAAAAAAGAAAAAAAAGATACGATAATTTACAACATCTGTTACTGCAGATCAGTTAGATCCTGCTTCTTTATACAAAAACATAAATGCTTAAAAAATAGAATCGAAAGGAGTATATTATCATTTTTATAATTTATTGTTATTTATAAAAGTGAACCTATACTGCTTTTCTTTATTTTCTGCCATGCATAAATAAAGAACATACATAAATGCTCCTGTTAAACACGGCCAAAGTTTCAAGCAATGAGAGTAATCCGTATCAGCTAAGAGCTCAGACTGCTATAAACAGTTCGTTTAAAATAACTTTTTTTCTATTTTTGACTTTCTGTAAAGTCAGGGAAAGGGTATCCTTAATATGGAGCTGTGGGCACAGAAGCCCCCCCATTTTCAGTTCAAACCTTCTGTTTGTAGTGAGTGGCCAATCAGAATGAGGTTTCTGTAACGAGGGAGGAGCTAAAATTCCTTCTTTCAAACAGAGAGTCCAAGATAAAAGTCAGAATGGGAGATGCATACATGTTGAAATGTACTATGAATCATCCAACTAACTTCAGGTTTAACTTGATATGATGGTGGTTCACATCTTATGTCACCATGGTAACTTATGCTGCTCTGGAGCAGGTTGTGTTTAAGATAAGAGATCAACAGTAATAAAATCACAGCCTGTTGACAAACCAGTTCTCCAGAAAGCATTGCTGAAAGATCCCTCAGACCTGTGTGTGCAGATATGAAGTATTTTTTTTAACAGCGTCTGCTTCAGACGCTGCATGCATTCATAACCCTCGGTTTGTTCGGTCACAATGGGGGTTTTGTTCTTTATTTACCTGTTGCCATGGCGAATCATGGTATCAGAGTGCAATTAATGGATTTCTTTCCAATTCTAAATCTGAAAACTCAGAATTTAGTTTTGAACTGTTGTTAAACCTGTTTTATAAAAACTGGAGTAAAAACTGGTTGCCACATACTGGACTGATTATTGACAGCCACTTTGGTTCCTTTACATATTTTAATCATGCAGTAACACATTTTATCTATATATTTAACAACTGGATTATCACGCTGCTTTTGTTGTTTGTTTGTGTTTTTTCACTGCATCAGCGTATGAATACATTTTCATTAGTGATCCATCTACCACCAAAAGATGGATGACTAATCACCGAATATTAAAGAAGACGTTTGTCCCCTGTACTGCTCTGATGATTCTGCATTTCCTTCCCTGCAGTTGGATTGTAGTGCATTAGGAGCTGCGGCAGGGATGAGGATCCGGCTGCAGTGTCCCGGCCACGCTGCCAGCCTTCTCTCCGAGCTTAACCGTTGCCGCCAATCACGTCAGTACTGTGATGTGTTCCTGCAAGTTGGCAACCGGACATTCGCAGCTCACCGTGCCGTGCTGGCCTGCGCCGGGACGTACTTTCGCAACTTGTTCACCAGAACTCCCACTGCGTCCAGCGCCGCCTTCTCTTTGGAGTTTATCTCCCCAGCTAACTTTGAGAAAGTGCTGACATTTGTCTACACCGGGGAGATAGTGACTGATCTCATAGATGTCGGGGTCCTGTACGAGCTGGCCGAGCGGCTCGGGGTCAGCGAACTGGTGAAGGCTTGTCACGCTACCTTCCCTGACCTGCAGGCTTCTGTGTCTGCAAACTGCAATGCCAGCAGTCCCGGTGATGTCACCCTGGACTCCAGCATGGTGGCCGCTCCACCCACAGTGGTTGCAGTTAGTGCAGCTTCTGTGCCGTCTGTGTGCTCCTCCGCCGCCTCCTGCTCCTCTCTGTCTTCATCGGCTGGCCCGTCTGCTGCCCCGACTCCTGCTGCTGCTCCCTCCCCTCTTTTCCAAATCAGGATGGGCAGGTCAGGCCGCGAAATTCAAGCCGGGCCTCTGTCTCTGGACCTAAAGGCAGAAGATGTCCAGTCTCATATCGGCTATGGGCAGATGGGAGCAGATCATCAGTTACCAGGAGCACCGCCTTTAACCACCAGCAGCAGCAGCCTTTCCCTTCAGGCTGACGGCTTGCAGCCTGTGGGGCCTGTGCTCCAGCTGAAGACTGAGCACGGGCTGGACGATGGGGAGGCGGGAGGCTGCTGTGAGGACGGTGACACAGATGGTCAAATGGTTTCTGACAGCGCGGGCGACTCTTTGTCTCGGAGCAGCAACCCTGTTACGTCTGAGTCTTGCTCCCTCCCTGACTCGTCAGCTCAGCTCGGCGCCGAAGCCTGCGCCCCGACATCATCCTCGGGAGAGTCTCCAGGCAGCCTTCAGGTGGCAGCGGTGGAAGGTGGCGTGGTCGACGTGCAGCAGGACAGCAGGCTGATGTTTGGGGAAGTGGAGGAAGGAGACACTGAGGAGGAGAGGGAGGCTCTGCAAGGTAATGGAGCAGTGGAGGGAACAGAGGAAGAGCAGTGGAGACAGTTGGCAGGAGAGATCATCGAGCTGAGCGACGATGAGAACTTCATGGAGGAGGGAGAGGAGGAGGACGAGGATGAAGATGACCTTGTGTGTGTGGAGAATGGAGATGGAGGGGATGCGAGTAGCCAGGTAATGTTTCTGTTTGTGAGCAGTACAGTAGTTCAGGTAAAAGGTCATTCTGTATAAAATCGAATCAGCTGAAGTTCTGTAATGTTTGTATTTCTAACATCGTGCTCTGAACGTTTTCTGAGCTACAGACCTTCAGAGGACACAGGATGGGTCGTATTTTTGTTCCCACATAGGAAATAATGGTCTTTGCTCCTCCAGGTGACAGGAAGCACGGTGACATGTAAAGCTTGCACAGTGGCACTCCCAGCAGATCCAGCTGCCATCAGAAGACACGGTGAGACGCACCTGACGGAGCTGGGGCTCTGCAGGGTGTGCGGAGCCTCTTTTCCCGACCGTGCCGCGGGCATCGCCCACTCCTTCACCCACGTGGGAGTGCAGCTCTTCACCTGCGACATGTGCCACTTGCAGTTCTGCAGTCAAAAGAAACTGCTGCGGCACCACCGCCAGACAGCATCCAGCTACGCCATCCCACAGGGGGCGCTGACCAACAGCAGCCACAGCCAAGAGCTGCAGTGTGCTGTATGCACCAAATCCCTCAGCAAGGACTTCCAGGTTAGTGGATATTTATGGAGGTTTTTGACATAAGTCAGACACTTTAAACGATTGCTTGATACATAAATGGCTCCATGTGTAAACAGACACTATTAAGTTATGATAAATGCGGACTTGATTGAAGAAATTACAGCCATTTCTATCTCCATGAACTGAAATGAAGTCGGGCAGTTCATTGAAAAGTTGTTCTTTTTTTTTTTAGTCACAAATTATTAAGATAAAAAGCCCCAAATGTTGCGTTGGCCTTTGTAAGCTCTTTCTGTGAGCCACAACATGCTGTCGAGCTCTCGGTTCATTAAACTGTGTCATGAATGAGCTCTCTGTGGTTCACTTTAAGGTTAACTGAAGCGTTTACTTTGTAAATAATGCAAGGACCAGGTGTGTCTAAGAAGCACAAAAGTGAGACTTGAGTTCACAGTGAAACCCACAGGAAGTCTGATGTTTGTATGAACAGTGCCTGAGAACCGGTTCGGTGGCAAACATGAGCAGGAAATAAGAATGAGGAGTCCCCCTGCTACACACCTGCTTCCTCAACTTTTAGTTTTGTGTTTCTCTCCTCCTCAGACTCTCAAAGACCACCTGCTGAGCCACGTGTGCGCCCAGAGCCTGAGCTGTGGCGTGTGTCACCTCCCCCAGCTGTCCCTGTGCTCCCTACTGTGGCACGCCCTCGCCCACCTCTCCCTGCCCGTCTTCACCTGCCCGCACTGCGCCCGCTGCTTTGTAGAGCGCGCCCTGCTGGACAGACACATGGCTGTGCACGCCGAGGAGGCGGCAGCTAAGGAGAGAGCGCAGTCGGCGCTGAGGGCTTACGGAGTCAAAGCAGATGGAGGTGGCAGTGGAGGAGGAGCGGAGGAGCTGCATTGCTTCCTGTGCCCGCAGACGTTTCGCTCGTCCTCTGCGTTTCAGTACCACCTCAGTCTGCACACCAGCGACTCCACGGGGAGCGGAGGAACCGCTGGCGGCCAGGGGTGGTTAGGAAAACGTAAAGCGGATCAGTCTCTGGAGTGCCCGCCGTCTTCCTGCTCCTCCTCATCGTCACGGGACGTCAGCGGGCTCGTTAAGATGAGCAACTTCGGTTTGGGTTTGGGAATGGGCATCAGCGTGTCGGACAAGTTTTTTCAAGGGCCGATGCACGGCGTATCCTCTGGAGTCCTGACGAACGGAAGCTCCAGTCAGGACGGCGGTGTCGGACCTGCAGGGGTGCGTGGGAAGTGGTATCGGTGTCGCTACTGTGGTAAACGTTTCGCCCACTCGGGGGAGTTCACCTACCACCTCCGTATCCACACCGGGGAGAAACCCTACCAGTGTAAAGTGTGTCTGCGCTTCTTCAGGGGGCGCTCCACCATGATCTGCCACCTGAAGACGCACGCCGGCGCCCTGATGTACCGCTGCACCGTCTGCGGCCTTTACTTCTCCACGCTGAAGCTGGTGTCGTCACACATGGAGCTCCACAAGGACCACTTACCGCCGGACTTCAACATCGAGCAGACCTTCATGTACAATGATCACTCTAAAGAACCGCTGCCCACTGTGGACACCTGATCAGCTCCTCGTTTCCTCCCTGACGCCTCCTCTGTGTCTGGTTGTCGTGGACCACAAGCTGCTGATAGTAGACTAGAGCTTTAGCTAACTGATGCACCAACATCAGTTAGCACCTATCAACAGATAGGACATTTACTGATGACTCATGCACATCTGTCATGTTACATCAATTTAATGCCGGCTAACTGTTTAAAATAAGTCAGAAGCGCTAGAAGTTTCCATTCTTGTTTTTATTAGGAGGATTTCTTCATCCTCCTAATAAAAACAAGATGCTTTGGCTGAAATATTATTATAAACACTGGTATTAGCCCAGTGCAGTGATTTTCTAATGTTTTCAGTTAATCACGTAGTCTCTAAATTATTGTAAAAGATCTCAGTATTGCTTATTTTGTCCAGCTAACTTTCTCAAACACACAAATGGAACCAGAACTACATAAGAACAAAACCTAAAAACTCTAAAACTAGCCATTACTATGGATTAAAGATGGACGATTCTCCTACTAAAGACCATTTGCACTGGTCAGATTCTTGACTGAGTCTGTTTTCAAAAAAAAAAAAAAAAAAAGTAGCATCATCAAAATGATTGTTTTAATATGTGATTGTAATTACAGTGTAATTACACTGCAGTTACCTCAATGTAGAAAATTAGACAAACACAAAATATTTTCATAAATGTATTATTTTCTTTCCACAGTGTTTTAAAGCATTGATTCCCAAACAGAGAGCGGTACGAGTCACACTGAGGGGCACGTAGCAGGTTTTTGAGGGGCTCTGGGGTTTCACGTAATAATGAAAAAATTAGAAATTACAAATCGATAATAGAAAAACTGTCTGCACTAACACAACAACAACTAGTTAATTAAAAACAGTTCACTTAAGATGTATTTATGTAGCAGTAAGTGCCTTTTATTGTAAGGTAAAGACTAAAATCTTAGTTAAAATAGCTGAACATAGTGCATGAAAAGGCTAAAATATGGTTGTATTAAATTAATAAATTATCAGTATATACGACTACGATTATTTGAGCTAAAATGATGACAATAGTTTTAATAAAAATGCTACGGGTAAATGTAAAAAGTGCAAAAATGGCAGGTAGATTAATCACAAAAATAATCCTGGTTATGCCTCAAAAACTCAACTCTTGCTGGAAGTGCACACTAACTGACTGATAACTGTATAAAATTAATTTTTAACACTATTTAAACTTGACTAAAACAAAATGAACAGTTTTTGGAGTATTATGGGTGTTTATGTAAGTTAGCACCCAGTACAGGAGTCCAGTCAGCACATAAATGAGTCTCCCCAACAACTTTAGCAGAGAAGGATGCTACTTTGGGAGTGAAACAGCTGGAAGAATCATCTCCCTAGACTTTTAATTAACAAAGTCTTCTCGGCTACCTCACCCCCACTGGCCAACTCCATCCCCCCTTTCTCATTTCTTAGTTTCTACATCCTTGCATCCTCTCCTTCCGTCTGGTCCCTTCCACCAGAGATCCAAGCAGAGGAGAGAGGAGTCAAGGCAACAAGGATAAAGTCAGCTGCAGTATCTATTGGTTGTGTTTGTGATGTGTGGCTCCTGATGATAAGGTTTGTTTTCAGTTTAGCCAGCAGTGTCCTTAAAGCAAAGATCATGCTGGTGCATGCTCAACAAAACACACACACATCCATATAGAGGATTTAGTAATGCTGGCATAGGAGCAGTAGTTTAAGAAAGGTGTGGTTATGTATGTGTTGTAAATGGCGACTGATTCCCTAAAATAAATACATGTGAAGGATTTTTTGAGTCTTAGTAAATATGTAAAAAAAAAAAAAAAAAGTGGGGACACTTTTAATCATTCACAATATCAGTATCTTGTAAGTATGAGAAGATATACCCCTTTTGAGCCGTAAAGGGCAGAAATTCCATCCCTCAGTGGCTTATCCAGGTCCAGGTTGCAGGTGCAGCACTCTAAGCAGATATACTCAGACTTCCCTGTTCTCAGCCGTCTCCTCCAGCTCATCCTGGGAGACACTGACGTGGAGGAGGAGTCCCTCCTTAATGACCAAGCTCCTCACCCAGACATCTGTTGGAAGCAGCCTATTTCAGTCATTAGCCAGAGCTTCTGGCCATAGATGAAGTTAGTAATGTAAAACTGTATGGTTGAAACCATCCCTGTGCAACTGGAGGTTCATTGCTTGAAGCGAGTCATCGCAGTGATGCTCCTATGCTGACAGGCTCATTTCTGCAGGAGGATGCAACCCTGCTGCTTACAGCTGCTTTTTGGGGAGATCTCCCCCCCTTAAAAAGGCCTCTGAGAACTCTAGCATCAACCTGTCTTTTTTTTCTCTTTTCTTTTTTGATATAGGCCAGAAAATAACTTTTAAAAGCTGGGAATCACTGTTTTAAAACACAAAATTAGTATTTTTATAGAATAGAAGTAAAGAAATGGAGATTATTTTTCACTTACATCTGATTATTTCTGTATCTGTTGATCGACTGCGCGTTTACCTGGATTTTTATAATGCGGCCGCCATATTTTTTTCTGTTAGATGCCGTTCAAACTGCAGGTTTGGTCTGTTTGAACTAAGATAAGAAGAAGCCACTTGGTGGCAGTGTATCCTGATGTTAGCAGGTGAAAGAAGGCAGCTGTATTATGCAGCAGATATTATCTACTGTAATATCAGGATAGGTTTTTGATGTCAGTGATTGTAATTACAGAGTAATTACACTGATTGCATATTGAAGTAGCATGCCATTTGTAGCATACTAATTCTATTTGCAGTCACGGTTTTAAAACCTTACAATTTTATTTCGTCTGTTCTTATGGTGCATGTTTCACTCAGATAAAACAAATCCACAGTAGAGAATATTTTTGTCTTTGAAACATAACAGTGTGCGTTTGAACTTCCACAGACTAATTCCATTTTAAACACAAGCTATACTGACTTGTTTAGAGCGTGTGACGTA